TCTCCCCCCCCCCCCCCCCCCTCTCTCTCTCTCTCTCTCTCTCTCTCTCTCTCTCTCTCTCTCTCGTGACAAGGAAGCCGCGCCAGTGATGTCCTCCATACCGCTGCGAAAGAATGACACCTCCAACCGTCGAAAAGACTCGGTCGGAATTCTCAGCGTTCTTCCCGCGTGATCCTCGACGGGGTCCTCGACATAAATATTAACAGTCATCGGATGCAGGCGCGTAATGGCACGCGCATTATTAGATGCGCGCTTAAGCTCCTCTCCGGGCAATAAAGGACTATATCTGAGAATGCCGACGCGGCATTGTCACGCTTATAACGCTTATAACGTTTTCCCATATTCTTAGAAATGTGCCAAGCTAGCTGATTTATCATGCCAATGAGTTACGCAGACCGGTTGAATTCAATATGCTTTTATAAATACTTGATAAGAAATATTACAATAATATGATAAATTCTCCTGTAATAAATTTTCTGTTGAAATCGTGAAAAGTTTCTTTTCATAATTTTATAATACTTTTGACTAATTTTTCATAATAAGAGTTTAGGTCAAAATATTGTTTGAATAAAATTCATTTGAAACTAAGTAAAGAATTAGATTCTTTTACTTATTAACAATTTCTTTGAAATTTAATTGGCAATAGGTATTATTACTACTTCATATTTTTCTTATGGAAAAATTGATTTAAAAATATAAATATTGTTAATATTAAAATCGGAAATTTCTTGGCATAGTATTCTTGTAATATTCTTAATATGGACACAATAAAAGTAAGAGAGAGTTACGATCAAAACTGCTGCTGTTGCAGATAGCAGTAGTCTGGCGAACTACGTCGATGAGGGCCCCGGGGATTTTGGGTTGGGATCGTGAAGACGAGTTTATGGACTGGCGGGACCTGACAAACAAGGGTCAGCCGAGCTCGTCGAATACGAGCACAAATCTCAGCGGAGCGCAGCCATCGAGCGTGATGAAAACCACCGGTCGTCCGCGGCGAAGATCGCGCGAGGACGCGCGTCCGAGGACACGCGAGATCAACAAAACTAATAGCGCTGAACATCGTCGGGAGGAGGCCAGGTCGATCGATAGGCTGGAACATCAATTCTGTCGTGAGAATCACACGATCGGCGAATCCGGTCATACTGTCACAGTGATGAAGTCCAGGTCCGCGTCCAGTGTCAATACTTGGAAGGACGACCTCGACGGCGACGAGGATGAGCTAGATCGAAGCACGAGTTGCAGAGTGTGTTCCAAGAATTCCTCTAGTCCCATCGGCGGCGACGAGAGTCGCGCCAAAGTGAAGCGATGCACCAAGGTGGTCTCCCCTACAACAATGGAAAAATGGAAGGAGAGCAGTAGATGCGAAATGCGTAGCAGGTCGATCGCATCGGAAAATCTGAAGAGTCCTCTGCAATTCGAGGAAAGTATTTTGCGGCGAGATGACATCGCCGATGATTCACCAAAAGATCTCGAGGATAGACTGCGGAACGCGGGTGGTCCAGACGATATTAGCGACGAGGATCTGCCGGCATACATAGGCAGTTTGCTTGTCACCGTTGAGAGAAAAATCGAAAGAGTCTCGCTCGACGATATGACGTTCCCCTGTCCGGCGTGCAGGAATATAGATACGGACGATCCATTGCTGGGATGCAGATGCGCTGGCGACGACTGCGGCTGCGGCGAGGATAACTGCGATTGTTCTTCCTCTGCCTCACGAAAGGAACAATCCGCGAAGAGCTTCGAAGTGGCGGGAATCAAGCATATCGATAGTGACGATGAAGAAGAAGTACGAATGGGATTCGGTAAGTAATTCACACATATTTTTACTTTTATATATAACAATAAGAATTTTTTTTTATTTGCATAGAGCAAAAGTATGTTTCCAATTATTTTAGAGAGCGATTGTTGTGTCTGTCCTTTAATAATGATTTTAAAATAACTTTTGTTGATAATCTTTGATCAAGTTAAATTATTGTAATGCTTAAAAAATATTGCTAGATTTATTAGCGATTAATTGACGAAAAATATAGCCTTGTTTACAAACGTAGAATTTCGTTTCCGGAATGACCGTTTATCGAAGGTGTACGATCTAGGAAAACTTGCAAGTTATTTCTGCCGATCCGCCACGCCAGCTGTTCTTACTCGATGAACGCTTTATGTAGGCTTGCGTGATTTACCGGCGACTAAACTCGCGCACCGGATACTTGAAATTCTGGCTGAAGTGTAGCGTAGGCGGCATATATCTTGTAAAGTGGCTACTTCTCGTCATGCGGCTGTTAAAAAATATGAACGCTACTCGTGCGTCGAATCGATGCTTATACTTCGTTCACGCGTGAAAGAGTTTCATTGGGGAGATTCCAGTGAGTGTGAATAGAATTGCTGTACTTGCATGATGTTATTCCAGTGTGCACGTGCTCGCACGAATGCGTGTCTTACATCCCGAAGCTGCGATGAAGTTTACGACGGAAATATTATCTGCTAAACAAAGTACTGAAAATCCGTGACGTGTATTTAACAGAAGTTTCCGCATTAACTCGCAATTTATTTCGTAATAATCCTTTCATAATTTAACGCACGGACATAATTAAGTTTCAAAGAAAAATATTGATTCCATTACATGTAAAAAACTTAAACTTAAGTTATTGTTTGATAAGTTATATTATACATTAGTGATTTAATGGATAGACTCATTCAGAAAACTATATTTATTTCTAAATGTACTAAGAAAAATGTCTGATTTAAAATAGACGAACTAGAAGATTTTGATTGTATCTATCAACATTCTGGTTATTTTAATTAAGAATTCTAGTAGATTTAATCAGAAAATGTTAATTCGTTCATTTTTCAATTAAAATTCTAATTAATCTAATCAAACGTTTCTTTTAATGTTGATTTATGCTTTTATGCAATCAATTGTTTCTATTATTGTTCGAATTTTTATTATATTTATTCAAATTACAATTTAATTTTATTCTTTTGACTCTTAATGATTATTTTCAATTTTCAAATGTTTATTATTTCTAAAGTTACGTTGAATAATTAAGAACAAATGCATTTTCTCGCTTGAGTTGAATCCTAAATATTTTTGTTACACGGTACTTGGGGTACTGCAAACTTTTATGTCACATGTCACAATCTCGGTTTAATTCGTCTCCCTGAGGGCATCGTTAACAAGCGATGACTCTCACGCCGACAACGCAAGCGTAATTGTAACGAACGAGTATGCAAATTGTCGGCGCATTCGCTTGTCACTCGATCTTTCGTCATGGACCTGGCCAAACGAATCACTCGCGGATACGGGCCTGACTGGGTCGGACAGTACTTTAAAGTCTCGCGGCTGTTCTCGACCGCTGATCTCCTTTCGCGTCCTCCCACGCTCGCCTCTTTGGTAACCGCCGCCGACAAGTTTGCAAAGTCAAGACCCTTTATCGAAATGACGCCACGTCCGCAGTTTCGACATAAAAATGAGCTTATAGCATTCGCCGTTTTGTAGCACGATTTTTTACGTATCACATAATTTGTACCATTTCATGGGCAAATTTTACTTTTTTAAAGCTCTTTTGCTCTCGGTTATCGCTTTCTTTATTTGTCGTATGATAACACGTTTTAAAGTTGCAGAACTATCGCCTCTATCTAATCTATAGACATGTTTTGAGAATTACTTATGATTTAAGTATAATTTAGTACAATATGGTACGAGTTTAACGAGTAAATATTACGAATAAAAGAATGCAATATAATAATTGAGATATGGAAAGTTATATACAAAGTAAAAATTAATCTTCATTTTAATGATTAGTAAAAACGTAAAAAATTCCGCGATTCTTTTTTGAACAGATATTGCTTTGAAAATAATAGATGTAATAAAGTTTATTAGATTGATTTAGTAAATCTTTTTTTACAGTATTATAAATGTTGTACCTTGAAAGATAAAAAGAAAGTTAGTTGAAAAATGGTTCTATAAAAGATAGTTTTATATATCATAACGAAAATAATTTTTCTTGTAAATTGTCATAAAGCTGATTAAAAAATACATTGAGTCAAATATCTGGAATAATAATTTCTTCCGTAGAAAAAACGGAGAATATTATGTTACGATATCGCATTAACTCCGATCTTTCCGATGCACTCGCTGTTGTATATAGTTTATGCAAAACATACGGACATTGTACAAATGTAATTATCATAACAATAATCTTTTGATTCATGTCTCCCTAAGTTCAGAATTGTGGTAACGTAAGATACCATGAACCATTGCGAATTATTATAACCGATTTGCGCTCGTCTATTGCAGTAACCTCGGTGCTCAAACATGTTTCTTGACTTTCCTTGCAACCGGCAGTGTTTGCGATGCGAGAGGCGAGCGACCTGCCTCGACAGTGAATGAACGGAGTAATGAACTTGTCAATGAGTATGCGTGCTAATGAGATACGACAGAACCGGCAATGTTTCTGAAACGTTAACGGCAAACCGAAAAATTGAATAAAGAAAGTTGCAAAGTGTATTTCAAAATGCATTTACGAATGTTTATTTGCAAGCACGAATTAATAAATTTTTTGTGAATTTAATTGTTTAAATTTTGTTTGAAATTGGATTTTATGAAAAAGAATATTACGTTGAATTTTAGAAAAATCTGCTACTTATTCATGTTTTAATATAAAACAAGTTATTACAATCTGAGTCAATACAATGAATTATAATAAATATTATAAATTCTGCGACAAAGAATTTATTTTTTTTTAGCCAATGCATGAGATGTATAATAAAACATATTAATAATGAACTATTGGGTCTGGAAAGTTTTTTTTTATCTGAAAAGTTCATGTCGATGTTGAAGGAAAATTTAAATTTTAGTATACATTTATTAAATTATATAGGTTAGTCGGCACGAACTTTCCGGACAACCCAATATATAATAACAAATAATTCAATTGTAATAAATTATTTTTAATAAATTATTTTTATTTTGTATTCAGTATCATCAATTTGAATACTTATTCTTTCGATTTAACTATGTTTTCTCAGCACTCGATTGTCGATTTGATAATAAAGAAGAGAAAGTAATATTTCATCAGATATAAAAGTTTCTCGCAGTAAATAAAAATAATCAATGAGTCGTCTAGTCATTCATATATGATAATCCTATCTCTATGTCCCTATCTCTATTTTGGTGTATTTGGCAATCAAGTGCGAAGAATCGGTCGTCACTCTTTCCTATAGCGTTCGTTCTGCTGTCATCGTTCCGTAACCTGCGTAGTCGGCGTGGCTATGTTTGCGGCGCACCATGCCATGCGATCGGACATGCCTTTACGCCGGTTGTCGTGTTTCATTAGCACGTGGATATCTTATTGACGGCGTGGCTTAGCGATCTCATCGGTACGATTCATTCGTTTTTTTTTTATTCGCGGGTTTGTTGGCAAGTCGTGGAACATAATCCGCCCATCGTGCGACATAAACGCCACTGCCCACGCACGAGGGTGCTATGAGTAGAGGAGGATGTTGTCGAGAATGACTTACAGCAGCTTAGAATGCATTTGATTTCGCTTCCTTTGGCGAAGGCCGACAGACTGGGTAGACTCGTGAGAAGAGAGAGAGAGAAAAATAGGAGAGAATATGCTATTTGCTATCCCTTAGATTTTTTTCTGAGAAAATTGAAAATCTTGTCATGTGAGACTAAATTGCAATTATATGATAAAAAATGGATTATAAAGAATTAATTCTATATAAACGTGAAACGTTAAGCATTATTTGAACTATTAAGATATGTACTTGATTAATTGAATTTGTAATCTCAATGAATAGATATACTACGAAAAGAATTCAACGTACATATTTTGCAATAGTCATTTCGATCATTATTAGCATTTAACTAAATATATATTAAGATAATAATTCTGTTAAAATAATATGTTAAAATAATAATAATAATAATAATTCTACAGAGTTATTCTATATTGCGCTTCTATGTAATAATTTCTTTTTATTGAATTTCATTTATATGACAATAATTTGTTAAATCTTTCTGATTAACACTGTATGAGATTACTAGAAAATTCACATTTTCATATTCTTATAAGCGTGACGATTTTGGATTGATGTGTTTCCACCCCACAGTTCGACATGCATAAATTTTCTGGAAGTTATTTTCATTAACGGATATCTCACCGCTCAATTAAATCCCCACAATTGGCTCTGCATTACGTTTTCTTGTTCCAAACAGAAAAATTCACTCGCGGAAATTCTTTGAACACGTCGTACCGCGAGATCCTGACTCCTGTAAGAACCGATCTGGTATCGCCGCGTATCATGGCAGTTAATTCTCGGACAATCGACAAGACACAGGCAGGAAGAATGCGGTGGGATGTGTACTAGTTTTGCCGCGCAACCGGCTCGAGAAAATCAACTTGGACTTTAACAGCAGCAATAACCGCAACGCATACTTCGTATTGATAAAAAGAATAAAAAGGAAGAGCCGCGAAGATTTTTTTAGAATGTTTTAATCCCCTTGCTCTTGCACGTTTTCGAATTTGATGTATTAATAATGCATATCTCTCTCATCATACATATTCAAATAACATTCCTGAGATATGCATATATCAAATATTTGCTAAACCTCGGTTGTCAACAAGTACATGTCTCGGTATGTAAAATTTATTAGCTTTCTCATTCTCTGATGTAATCAATTATTGTTCTTCTCTTAAATTCTTTCTCAAATTCAGGATATATAAAAATATGATAAAATTTATTCTTATATTTAAAAAATTTGACGTGATTAATTCACAGTATAGGGATTAGTAAAATA